GGAGAGGAACAAAAATGGAGTAAACGAGTTGACAAAACCGAATTGGAAAAACTACAAAGCGAAACAACGTTGAAATTATAAGAAAAAATAAGTTTCCATTCACTATTTTTTTGTTAAAATAAAGATAAACTTGGATAAGTGATAAACAAATATGGAGGTGTTTTAAAACAAAGAGGTTTTTATCAATGTAATCCCCTCCAATATCGGTATTTACCCACCTCTAATCCTTAATTGCTCTTGGTCAATAATGTAAATGAATTTTGACCACTAGGAAAGAAAACCAACTTTACAACCTTTTGACAAAATAAATAATTGTACTTTTTGGAACCTATTCAATCAATTCAAAAATAACACAATTAAGAATTTACATTTACACACAAGAAACGCTGAAAAGCCACTAAAATATAATTTTTTTACGTTGCATTTAAAATAAATTAACCATATCTTTATCACTACAATGATAGTGGGTATGAATCTTTATTCACAATCACTAATGTAATATGCCGATTACTAACCTTTTAAAGGTTGGGAAACACAGCATTAAATCTCATGAGGAGTAATGATATTACTTCTCTTAGGCGGTAATATGCAGGATAGCCAACCTTAAAATTACAAAAATCCCGGGAATTTTTTCTTTCAAATTGGCAAGTTACACATAAGATTTTGCTAAATTAGTATTCAATTGCTTTTGTAGCAGTTTTTCTTACTTCTGGGGAAGTACACTGCTCCATTTCGACGATTTTATGTCTCATACTCCTACGCTAAGTTTTTCCGTCATTTTGATCGACTATTGGAGGTGGCCTTGTGTGTTTTATATGGTCGATTTCCTGGTTTTATCTGATTTATGATTCACCTCAAGAACATCCAAGGATTAAAAAGGACGAATGGGAGAAACTCGAAAAGAAAATCGCTAAGACAACAGTGAAGAAACGAAGTAGTCCGGTCATAAAAATAGTGGTCAAATAACGAAAATTCCGACAGAGCTAAATTTTGGTGGAGACCTTGGGCACACCATTATAAATAAAGTGTCAAAAGTCCCCATCGATCCCATGTGTGCTAAAAAAGTTTTTCGGGGTCAAAGGTCAAAATGTGTCGTTTTTTAGATTTTTTTCGAAAACGGTAAGTTTTATCAAAAAAGTAGCCCAGACAAAAATTATAGATCTGCGGTACTCTCCAACGTAATGGATTTTGCCCCAAATTACTCAGAAAGCATTAATGGAATATCTGCCATTTTTGGCGGTTTCGCTGGTTATTTGTCAACAAAGCTATTTTCTGCTTTTGTCAAAAACGAACACAGTTTTGAAAAATGGCAATTTCTGTTTTGGATATTAGCATGCGCTAATATTGTATCTTTTTTAGTTTTTATTTGGTTGGGGACTTCGGAATTGCAGGAATGGAATTCAAACAGTGTGATTAAAAAAAGGAGGCAACAGAATAAATAAAATTAGATTGTTAATTAGCACATGGAATGCGCTGGTAAAAGTTTATTACACATAAAAAATTTAAGAAATTCCTAGAGTAAATTTTGCTTAAGACTAAATAGCAATATTTCTTGTTCCATTATAATTAAAATACAATCTTGGTTAAAAATTTAAATTTTATTTCAGACGTGAAACAACCTTTAGCTATTTTTTGTTAAAATATTTTTTTAACTAAAATTGCCGAGTCGTGCTTATTATAGTTCCTATAGGGTAATTCAAATGTAAAGTAAGATTTGAACCTCAAAAATTACCTATAAAATGATACTGATAAAAATTCTCCCAAGTAGCTGTTCCAAATTTATAATATTTGGTCAAATGCTTCTAAAGTTATTACAAAAAACAAATTTCCATACCCATATTCCAAGGGCGGTAATATTCTTATCAGTAGAGATAAGACAGGAGTTATTATTTAAATTAACATCAATTTACAGGTAATTTTTGAGGCCCAAATATTGCTTCACATTCATGAATTACTGTGTATATTCCAATATAGGAACTCTAGTGGCTATATAACCCGTTTGTAGCAGTAATTTTTGCTTAATAAAAATAAAATATAAAAAAATCTTCAACGAATTCAAATTATGGCAAAAAACTCAGGTAGCTCCACATATTACACTACTTCCTCGTTCAATTTCGTCTTTAGAAATCCTAACATGTCAGCGTGTTTTGTCGCTAATGGTCATCATGGGATTCATGATTCACCACATGATTCGAATCAACATTTCCATAGCCATCGTCGAAATGGTGGTTAGAAACAACTCTAACACCTCGCTTGAATCTCACGGTCCTCGTTACAACTGGGACGAAGAAGCCAAGAACGACATTTTGGGCTACTTCTTCTGGGGTTACCTCATCACTCAAGT